TTTCGAAATTCGTTCACCTTTGTCGGATATGGAAAGCAATTTATGGCGCAAAGCAAGCTTAATAAGACAATTTACAAAAGTACTACACATGCGAGCGTATCATATCTTCTTTGTAAGCCATGATGGCAAAATGCAGGTTAATGTCTCCGTAATAATAAAATCGTAGCATCACGGAGAACAGAAGCTCTTTGCTGATTTACCGACGCAGACCAAACAAATTGAAAGAGTTTCAGTGAAAAGCACTTCATCATTAAATAAATATTAAGATAGAAAATAAGTAGCACCGAATGCCTTTTAAAAAGAACACAGTTTTGAACAAATGCAAAAGACAAATAAACTACCATGACGGATGAAAAAGTGTAAAAGTTCGACTTCTGAAAGACTATATGTAAAAAAATGCAACGAGTTCTCACAAATTCATTCCTTCAATGCCTGCTAGATCAAATGATGACAAGCATGATCCGTCCTCGGCTACAATTTTGGTAGAAACTTACAGTAAGGGAAAAGGCATGAAAATGAGTGTTGTTATAAGCACATCACTGGTTATTAGGAATTTGAGATTTTAAAGTGCGACATAAATTCTGCAATTGTTGCAGTTGTCGTTCTTTTAATGCGCATAAATCTTCACATTCTTTAACTTTCAAAGTTGCGGCTGCCAAAGCCCTGAAACGATCATCTGTTTGGGAAACGAAGTACGAATAAGCTGGATTTGTTATCCTTATGGTAATAAAAGTGTAGCATACCTTGGCTAAAAACAAAAATAAAAACTCATTCGACGTACTTTTAGTTCCAGGTTATAGAAGAACTGGAATTTTCTCAAAAGTTGTTTGAGGAATCTGAAGTTATACAAAGATTAGAACTTACTGAGCAGTTTCATCATATTTCATTTTCCACTTTCGCGCATCCTTCTCTACCTTAATGACGTTAGCATTCATTCGTTCCATTTCACGCCGGAATTTATCAAACGTTTCATTTGAATTGTTAAGGCTTAAATGTAGCTCATTATATTTCTTTGTATATTTATCGATTTGTTCACGCATTACCTTCTCTCCTTCGAGAACTTCCTTTACTTTCTGCTCACGAGCTAACAGCTGAAAATTATAGAAATTATGAACATGTTTATTAATTTTTTTTTTGGTTAATTTTATAGAATTGTTAGTCCAGCACTCAACAGAGAACAAGAAAAAACTACCTAAAGTACAAAATTCTCACAAGCTCCTAGAAATAAGACAGAAAAACTACAAAAATGTGGAATCAGAAAGGAAGTAGCTGATGAAGCATGCAAAGAACCTCGCTTTGTAATTGTAATTTCTCTTGTATGCATTTCTGTGTATCCAGTGCAGCAGCCTGAAGCTTTGTTTTATATAGTTCCACTTCCATATCACGAGCTGCTGTTAGCTTCTCATAGTACTCCGTCTTCTGCAATGAACTACATTTACGAAGGGTGAAACACAGCGATACATAACTGTATTCGAGTGGTTATTAAAACCTCATATTTTACTTTCACTATAATTTTATCTAAGCAACTAGTCTCAATCAACGAAAATTAACTCGTTAATCGAGAATACCAACATATGATAATGATGATGATGAATCTGCGGAAATATTCTGGACATACTTCAGCAAATTGCTTTGAGAGCTCAGCAACCCTGCTTTCATATTCTTGTGCCAAAATTTTCAATTTTTCCGACAGCACTGCATTGTCGTTTGTCAGTTTTTCAGATGTTTCTCGTCCCGATTCCATCGACTTCTGCAGCAAATAGCAATAAACTTAAGACCGTAAAAAGAAAGTAATGCTCATAACAATCATTGTGCAAGCTTCGAGGGGAAATTCCAAATCTCTTCATCTTACCACTTTCCGACTCCCTGCCAAACTTTGAAAATGTATTAGCGGTTCGAAATGCTGTTTACCTGAATTCCGGCCAGTGATTCTTTGAACTGTTCAATCATATCTTTACGATTTCTTTCCAATTCACGCAATCTCTCTACGTGTTCCTCATGTGCTTTCCGCTGTGTTCTTTGCATTTCTCGACACAAATTTTCCAACTTCGATTTTGCTAGTTCGGTTTTGATCAACACTCCCTCAACTGTTTCCACTTTCTTAGTTAACTAAAATAAGATATAAATGGATACTTCTACGACAATTTATGAACATTCTATTTTCTACATTTTCATTCTTACATTCGGATGCAGATGGCTTTCATCTTCTAAAGATACTTTCAAAAAAGTATCGTAAAAAAATTTTAAAAGAAATGAAAATTTATTTCAACAAAAGTGAACTGAAATAGTGTGCATGAGTTAGGAATGAAGTATTACTAGAAAGTAAAGGTAAAGAAACAAAGCGCTTAGAAATGAATTTAATTCTCCTATATCAGCTAACATGATTTAAACCAGTTGATATATCCGATTATATCATTAAAGATTTAATGATATTATAATCGAATATATCTATATCTACTGGTTTCTCACCAAATCATTTTGTTTCCTTAGATTGGTAGACATTTTCTGCATCTTCGATAGTTCTTCAACCTTGCTTGCCAGAGTAGTCTTTTCTTCTTCAGTTGCCAAAACTCGTTCCATCAACGCCTTCACTAATTCTTCACCTTTCAAACATCGTCCGATACTTTCTAATTCACTTCTCACATCTGCAATTTGCCAATTTGTCAATGTTTGTTTTTCTAAGCTTTCAGTTTTGTTGCACTTATAAAAATGGAAAATATGTACAGGATAAAATGTAAAAAAAGAAAAAAACACGACAATAACCTGTCTTCCGAGCCGAAGCCATTTTTTGGGTCATTTTTCTGGACGTTCAATGACCATATAGAACGAAAAATTTGTAAATAAACGGAGGGATGAGTGGACAGATGAATTGAGCGGATAAGTAAGTGGATAAATGAATTAAATGGGTGTGGATAGAAATATGGCACGATAAACTGCAACCGGGAAGATTGCAATCACTGGCCACACCACTGCTGCAAATGTAAGATAACCCATTCAAGGGAATTCTTCAACCCTTAGTTATTGTGCAGAATGTTTGGAACATACAAGGTTCCTGTAAAGTACCCAGAAAATGATGACTCCGGATTACCTTCCAAATATTGATTTTTTTAAATCACCAACATAACAAATTTCTTGATAATGAAATTTTGACCTTTCCTAGGACAGAAGTCATGATATATATTTATCCCATTCAATCAACATTATTATTACGCTCTCAGCTAATTATTTTCTTTAAACGTTCTCTAATTATTGAATAAAAAAGGATTGCATCAAGTACTACAGTAGATACCTAACTTTTTCAGGTTACACAACCTTGAACTCCTCCGTTGCTTGAATCTTGGACAAGTTAGACACCCAATTAAACATCACCGTAACCCTCATCAGTAGCGCCATCCTTCAATTCTAACTCGTTCAAGTTTAACCGCAGAATACTTCTCGGTCTGTTGCCGCTATTGTTTGATTGGTGCTAAATTATTTTCGAAATACGCTGACCTCCATGCTCATATCGGTGTATTGTATAACTCTTGATACCACGATCCAATATATCTATACTTACGACGTTAAGACGTCAAGAGATAAATAATTCTACATACATTTCTCATCTTTATTAATTTTTTGACCCATGAATTAGTGATCAATATGAACACGTGAGGTTGGCGTTATGTTCTCAGACGTTTCACTAATTTCAACATGAATGAAAAATATGATTTATAAAGCTAACAGCCTGGAATGCCTATCCTAAACTTTTTGAATATTTACTGCTGAAATGGATAAAAAATCTAAGAGATCTCCGAAAAATATGGTGTCTTTATTTTCCTAATTTTCTCGACACTATTTGATATATTTAAACAAAAAAGTCATTTAAAATATAATTAATTCTAAAATGGTCATTTGAAAAAAAAGTTTTGTTAAGGCTTATTATTGAAGTTTCATAGTAACCATTGTTGGATTAAATTTTGGATTAAATAAAATCCATATTTTATTTTCAACTTATAAAAAATTTGCATTAACATTATTATACTTGGCAAATTTCGTTCTTCCAAAAAAAGCAGTTTGCTTTAGTTTGGAAAAATAATTAATGAAATAAACGTTCTCTCAATTTTAGTAGAAAAGGCATGAAAGTTGCAAATCGACAAAATAATAGTTTAAATGTAAGAAATCATAGAAAATACTGATTTTAACGTTTTCATCAAACAAAAAATAAAATTTCCGGATTCTTGTTTGGCGAAAAAATGAAATGGACAAAAAAGGCAATGTTGGAATGTACGGCTAATATTATCAGGTAAATTCATAAATTAATTTCATTTAATCCATTTTTGGATTAATTACATTTAGCAAATGTTAAGTTTATTTATCCAAAAGTTTAACCTGTAATGATATTATTGCTAATAATATACTATTATTATTGCAATGATAGAAAGTGTTTTAATTATAAAAATAGCGCTTCGCTGAAAATCACTAAAATAATTTAACGGATTTTCATTTATTTGCACTAGGTATACAATTTAAGTAGATTAAAATTCAAATATCATAAATAAAGTTGAATTAAACTTATGCAACATAAAGATTAGACATATATATATATATGAATAAAGGACTACCCTAATTGCCTAATTGCTAATTGATAAATTCGAGAACATCGATAAGGTTAGACCAAGCTTTTATATGATGAAAGTTGTGAGAATTTTTTTTCAAAATTAAATTTTTTTGCCATTCTCTTTTTTAAAAATTTTTATGCGACCTCATCTCTTTGTCCTATGATAGTAGTTAGTATCATTTTATCTTCTCAATATTACTTCTCATTAATATCCTTCTCATTAATATTCTAATTGATTAATTAATTGGACAAACTATCAACAAGAATGGTTCATTAAAGTGAAGAAGAAAATAACCATAAAATTCACATAGGTTAATTGATAATTAAACAAATAACATTCAGATCAGTCAGATCATATATTGCTATATTAGTGAGAAAATATTTGGAAGAAGAAAAAGTTAGGTCAATTCTGCCGTTTACCAATTACAAGTGGATGTATTTCAGTGCCTGCCCGAATTCGACAATCACAGCATGTTGCTGTTGAGATCGTTGTTGGTTGCCAATTTCCGTTGACATTTCGTAGCACATCAAAATTTCGATATTTTTGCTGACATTTTCCCCATCCTAAAATTAATATATATATATATTTAATAGCTAAATAAAATAATAAAATATATATGTTATTATTATCATTGAAATATTATTAAAAAAACTTTGATCGAAACAAACTTATGAGTAAGATTTTCATTTCTTCAATAATATACTTTAATTAATTAATTCAAAAACTTTTCCCTTTTCTTTTTTAGGTCACTTCAACTGATTAAATCGATCTTCTCTCTCAATCATAAGCTTCTCAAATATAATTTCAATTAAAATATTAGAGTTCATTTCCCTTTTGATAATAATCTCTTCAAGCATGATTTCATTGAAAAAAATTGCAAATTACAAAATCAAAGAAAAGCAAGTTTCTATCCTTTCTTATCTTCCATTCTCCCTCTCTTATCTCTCTCTCTCTCTCTCCCTCTCCCTCTCTCTCTCTCTCTCAAAAAAAGAAAAGCAAGTTTCTCTAAATTACTATTTGAAAACGCATTATGTATGATTGCTTTCATATCGGTGTAATTTATTCATTTCAGTATTTCCTTTCAAAAAAAGCGATTAATTTAAACGATGTGAACAAACTAAACCAATGAATTATTCAATGATCGAAGAAAGCAAAGAAATCCGGTTATTACATATTACTTGTGTGATAACAGGAAAAAAAAGCTTTAAGAAGAAGAGAAGAAGAAGAAGAAGAAGAAGAAGCATAAAGCTATTACCGGATAAGCAATGATCTCCATTTTCTTTGGAGCAAACAAGTTCATTGATTAAGGGTGGGAAATAATCGGGTGGTAATTTACGCCAAGTCCAACAAGCACTACAAAGTGCCAACATGTTATCATCATCTCCTTCACCACGTTGTACGCAAGATATCATATAACGTATTCCTGGAATGAATTGATCAAAGATTAAAAATGTGTGATTTAAATTATGATATTAAAGTGTGATTTATTTTTTATAGATAAATATATGTTAATTTTATTAATGAAACGTAAACCTATCATTAACCTGTCGAAGAAGGTCATCATCATCTTATTCATTTAGCTACTTAATTAATCTAAATATTAGATTAGATATCATTAAAATTTTATAAATGCTATAGAAACAAAGCAAGCTATAAATGCTATGAATGCTATACAATAATCATATCTTACTTACAAGTTAAATGGTCTTCATGATATTGTAAATAATAATTAGGAATTTAGTGATAGTAATATGTATATAAGGATGCTTATAATAGTACTAATTTAGATTTGATAAGTGTTCACTAAGGTGGAAATAAGTGCTTATTAGAAATTAACGCAAACTTAAAAGTTAGTGAATAAGAATTGCTAGAAACCTAAAACAGGTGGTTCAGCTTTTCTTTTAACTTTTTTCTTGCCACTATCGTGTATCTGTCCCCAAGTTTCTGTTTCGCTATGTTCATGCATCTGTTCCATAGTTTCTGCTTCGCTATGTTCATGCATCTGTCCCGAAGTTTCTGTTCCGCTATGTTGATGCATTTGTTCCGAAGTTCCTGTTCCGCTATGTTGATGCATCTGTTCCGAAGTTTCTGTTCCGCTATGTTGATGCATCTGTTCCGAAGTTCCGATTTGACGCTGAATTGACGATTCAGGAAATCCAAAACGAGGAATCCATGGTTGTTGAATTGGATACTGCAAGCACCAAATGTTATAATTATTTCTTGTAGCATAACCTTTTAATCATTGAAGTTCAATCAATGCATATTTTAAATATACATGAGATTAAAATTATTTTTTAACCTGTGGTGGGTGATGTTGTGGTTGGAAGAATGGGAATTGAAATTGATGTGGTTGAATATGTGGAGGAGGGAATATAATTGGTTGAGGTGGTGGTCGAGTCGGTTGCCAAAAATGATTTCTTGATGTGGGATGAATCTGCGGGAAAAAAGTTTTCTTTAAATAGTGCAACTATATATCGAAATAAAATTTATTGGAAACTAAAATAGCATTTCAAATTGTAATTCTGTAAATAAGTTATTGTTTTAATCAAAAAAAAAAAAACAATAATAAATACATATTAGGGATGGAAATTCTTTTCCTCAAAATAATTTCTTTGTTCTTGGCATATGAATGAATATCTTTAAGTTAGTAATTCTCATTTCCCAAATTGTAATAAAACAAAATTCTTACAACTCGTTGTTGTCCGAAAACACCGATATATCGCAAACCGCGTTCAATTAGTGTCCTCATATAATATGAAGCTTGAGGTGGATGTGATACCTATAAAAAAGAAAATCATATATATATATACATATATATATATTATTATTATCATTATTATTTAACTTGTCCTAAAAATCAAAAATCAATTAAAGAGATTTTAAATTTAATATATTTGTAATTTTCAGAAACTCTTCAAATTTCCTTCTTGTCTCATGAAAAATTAATAAAATTTGCTAACAGGATATGATCTAAGAAATCGAAGTCTTCGACAATTTCTCGGATCAATGGTTCTGGGAAGTGGAATTGAAACTTGCAGATCCAATGGTACCATTCCAATTTGTTTTATACGTTTGAGTAGAATTGCTGCACACGTTTGACATTCCAGTGTTCGACATGCGAATAATTCAGCATTCTTAAAATATTATTTTCCTCTTTAATACAAACTGTTTCATAAGTTCATGAAAAATGTAACAACCTTGAAAAATAAATTAGGTTTAATTAGGTGTATTTCAATGTTACAGCAAGTTAATTCGTTCCTTTATTAATAGAAGTAAATTAAAAAAATACATTATGCAAAAATTTATGCAGCATCTCTACCATTACCATATAAAATATTCTAAACAAATCAATGATCTAAAGTGAACTTCTTCCATAACTTCTTATTTAACTATAAGAAGACAAGCTCAAATGATTCCTTTCAGTTAGTCATCATCTTCAGATTCCGATAACCTTTCATTATCCCATCATCTTCACTTTCTTTTAAGACAACCATCATTCATTATACAAGCAGTTCCTTGGCCAAATACACTTCTCATATTGTGCGTTGCTTCTACTGCTTTATAATTCAAATAATCAAAAGAATTTTTATCTAAATTTACGTTTCATCTAACATAATTTCTTTAGTCTAAAATAAATATAAAAAAGGACGATGAAAGAAATTGCAATTGCTTTTATGTCAATCTAATAAAACATCTATAAAACCAACGATGATGCCACTAGTGGGATATTTTAGACTATCATCATCCATTGTAACATCTGGAAATGCCACAAGCGCTTCTTCGATAGAAGCAGCCTGATATCGAGAATCATAGGCAATGCATTTATCTGTACCAGGTTTAATTACGCATGGGCACTGGAATGTCACACATCAATGATTTATAGTGTTTTCATAATCATTAATACAAATAACGCTAATAAATGATTAACTGAAAATTATGATAATATTAATCAATGATACCTGTGGAACAACATTTCCATGAATACGTTGATCCAATAAATTATTCGATGTGTAAAATACTCTTTGAATATGCCGCTTTTGAAGTGTTTTCACGTCATGAATGAGAAACTTTGTATCAATAATTGTAGTGTTTGATGTGTTGAAATGTTGTAGAGGTAAAACATTTTTAGCTTCAAATGGTTCAAATTTTATAATCGTATGAGATAACAGTTCCGGAATTGTTATTTTTATCGTATATAAAAAGAAAATGAATAAGCGAACATTTGTCTTCATGCTTTACGAAACATCCACGCTATACAATCCTGTTTTTAACGTCGATAACCGCGTCAGTTTACAAGCATCCTAGTAATTAAATATAAGCAACCCTGAAGTAATCATAGCATTCTCTGTTAACTTATCACCAAAGCGCAGCTAATATTAATATTCGAAATTGAGAAAATATACATGTTAAAGCAAAAAATCAAAAATTGAAAAGGTAAAGCAAGGAAATATATTTTTTGAGAAATTTCAATTAATTGTTTAATGTAATGACATCGAAGTAGAAGATATATCAGAGATTTATGAAACACGTTTCAACAGAATTAATATCATCATCTGAATATATTATTACAACAATTTTTCATATATTTCATTTCTTAAATTTAATTGTAATTTTGTTGATCATTCATTGTTGCATGACATTCCATACCTATATGAAATAGATGAATTTGTAATAGAAAGTTCAAGATAGAAGCTCATGCCAAATCAATTCAGATAATTCATTTACTGACGGTGCTTTTAACACTTTAAAAATTCATTTACCATTTCCATCACCATTTAACACAGAGAATAGACGAATAGTTACTTTCTGGTAAATATGAAACTTGGTGCTATTTTAATTATTGCTCGTGCTTCTACAACTACTTCTATTATTATTGTTATTATAACAACAACAAAACAACAATAATAATATTACTAATATTATAATATTAATAACAATAATAATAATTAATAATAATAATAATTAATAATAATGATAATAATAATAATAATAATAATAATAATAATAATTAATAATAATAATAATAATGATAACGACAATAATAATAATAATAACGACTACTACAATTATAACTCTCAGGAAATATTTGCAAAAAGTTATAATCATTTCTAGAATTCTGAAAAAATCACAATTTTTAAGTGGGAAAATGTAGCGATAATAGGAAAAAATAATTTTCAATGTTTGTTTGAAAGAAGAAATGTAAAAAATACCATAAACCGGTACTAAAAAGTATTTTCCAAACATCTATTTGTAAACGTCCTGTTCTAATGTGTATGTCTGATATGCCATGGCATCTTAATTATTACAAATAACAAACATTTTCAATTCAACCTCACTCACATTAATGGATCACAATGGCTGTTTCTCTTTTAGTGTAGACTATTTTTTATTAATTTCTATTTCTAAATAATTTAATGACTTTCAAAAAAGATTTATTCTCAACCAGTAAATATCGATTGAAATAAAAACATGTATGATAAATTGAACAAATAACTGTAATCTAATTGTAATTTTTCTATTGTTATGATAAAAAGGTCATTATACTGTTGTCATGAGAAATTCTTGGAATGTGTCAACAGCAATGACTAACCACTAATGAAATGGATGATTTTGTCCTCTACGCATAAAAAATTGTTTTTCAAGTTTCGATAGATTTTCATCATACTGTTGCCACGAGAAATTCTAGGAATGTGTCTACAGCAATGACTAACCCATGAAATGAATGACTTTGTCTGCTATGCATAAAAAATTGCTTTTCAAGTTTCGACAGATTTTTTAAACAATGACAATCGATAAAACATGCTCATATTTTAATCATGTTCTCGCCTCAAGATACAGTGAAAATTTACTAATAGTAACAGGAAGAACTCACAACATCATTCTATGTGCTAGTACTGACTTTTAAAATAGTTTGTACATATGGAACGCATGGGTATTTGCCATATTGCGCAAGTTAGGTATTATGTCTGAAATTGGAGAGACACCCGAAAATTTTTCAATATTTTTGAACCGCTACGAAAGAGAAATTTTCAAGATCTATTCATAAGCAAATAAAATGATAAACAATGCCACAAAATTTAGTACTGAAACTAGCAATTATTAATGCTTTTCTCATGTGTAATATAACCATCCTTGCTCTGCTTTCACGGATGAATTTGTTCTAACACCACCCAAAATGCCACATCATCAATAAATGTTTCCTTTAGAAGTGATGAAACGTTATACGCATATAATTATTTATTGACGTAGAGAGCCGAATCAACACAACAAACCAAAAAGGCAGTAAAACATTAAAAGTATGAATAAAAACAAAGCACACACACAAAACGCAACTTCTATCCTTCATCCATTTGTTCGCTACCAGAAGCATCTCCTTGGCCTGCAATTCGAATATGAGCTGAATATAAAAATATGGTACTTATACAGAAATGTCAAAGAAACATTTAACACCATACAGCAATTTTATCAACATCCAGCCAACACAATAAATTACACTTCTCACACTATTCACTTAAAACTGCAAACTCCCAACACTTCTGTTTCATTGGCATTTGGGAGACTTTTTTTGACGATGGTGACACTCTCGACAAGTTAAATTAATAGCAATTAACAGAAAGTTGTCAAAATATCGCAACGAAATTCCCTACAATTCTACATTCTAATAAAAACATTTTAATAGCAAAGTAAGCTTGTTCGATCGCACTTGATCGCATTATTCCTCTGTTCTTCGATTTGTGCATTATCAAAAAATTCTTTCAGGTTAGGTCAAAATGAAATGAAAAGAAAAACACACCACCATTAGTTTCATGCCTGTGCACATTGGTTTGTACGTTCCGAAAATATATTGTATTTTGATCTCCTTCTCGACCATCTCCCTCGCAATCTTCCTCATCAGATTTATTTTCTAAAAAGTGTAAGTAAAAATAGCAAATAATTTCAAAATCTGTTACTATTACCAATAATTAGGTTCACTACTTTGCAACTACCCTTAACTTTCTGCTGAAACTGGTTACCTGAGAACTGACTACCCTCTGGATCCATTGTAAAGTCGTCCGAAAAATCGTCACCCTCATCAGGATTCAATCCTTGACACTCACACATTTGTTGATAAATATTTTGCACTAAAATTTTCAAAGATTATAAAATTAGTCAACTTGATATCAGCATCATACGGAATAAGCTAAAACTTCATTCAGGCGTCTAATTTAAAGGAACAAATTTGAAAAGAAACAAACTCAGAGTCAATATATTATAAACATTTCTTAAAGGCTAATATAAATATCGCGATTATAGAGGCATTCAGTTCAGCTTTTTTATGCAATTTCGTAATATCAGCTGTAATCAGTGACGACTCATATTCAAGAATCAAAATCTTCTGAAGTCTTATTATGATTATCATTCAGTCCTTGACTAACAACAAATAAAACAAAAACATAGGAAGTAGAAAATAACAAGAGATAACATCTTTGAGATATTTAATATATTTAATCCCTAAACTTACATATAGTTTTATCTTGAGGAGCAAAACGTATAGCTAAATGTACTTTGTCATCATCATCATCATCATCATCACCAACATCACCGAAACCATTTTCCGTCCTTTCTTCATTAAATTCTGCTTGTTCTTCAATACCACTTCCAATAACATGCTGTGTATTACTCATAGACTCCTCGGTGGTTTGTATTCCTATGTCTACGAATAACAACATAAAGTAGATACTGCTAATATCAACATGAAGCCAAACAGCAAATTAAATTATTCCAACACGTATTACTCAAACATTTATAATTTATCTTTCTTCTGCACTTCTAAACGAAATGAATAACTATTTTACAGAAAATTTCAATAACCTACATTCATATTGTATACAAACACTACCAAAATATCTATGAATGGTGATATACCTGATCCTTTCGCATCAGCTAATACGTAAATACATTCCTCTGGAAATACGCTGGGATCACGCGAAATAGCGTGAAGTATTATTGATGGATAAGTCAAACTAAAGCCTTGTCCACTGATACTTGATATCCATGTTACAGAACTGAAATATTCCTAATTTTGTAATCCGAAAATATTAACATACAAACCATCACCTGAATTCAAATCAAACCTAATTAACTGTTGACCATATTCTTCAAAATGCTTCAAGGTTTCATACTTAACTTCGTAAAAAATAAAAGACTTAAAAGCTTTATACAAATTAATCTGCAACAGGCAACACACTACCATCCACCACAATATTGACAACTCAATCAAACCAACTCGATACCTTTCAGAAATGGTCAATTCACCTTCACCAGCAGATTCACTTTCAATATATGCACTGACTTGACTTTGAATCAATCGAATGCCATCTGTCGGTACAGCTACATTGCTTAAAACAATCATCGTTTATCGCCCTGAAAATAACTCGAAGGTGCAAGTTAAACGCAAGTAGGGGAGTGTTAAGAAAGTTAAAGGCGAATATTAGATAGTTAAATGTTTGCAGCATTCATATCTCCTATTAAATGCTTAGCCTTATAAAAAGCTAACGCCAATGAAAAGCCATTTAAGTTCTATAAGAAATCTCAGGCCAAACTTCAGTCAGTACCAAAGGTTCTAACAAAAAAAAAAATTTTAGCAAGCTGTACTTATGCAGCTGGCAAGTTGTCAACACCGCAGAGTTTCCGTTTTAGGATTAATGATAGCTTGTGTAACACTATACCTTTAACTTCAGTTGTAGTGGTAATAACAGAAAGCGTTATGCTGAAGCGCTATGCTGAAGTGAAATGCGATCAACAAATACGTCGTGAACACGTCATCCATGTTGCAAACATATACAATATTTACGTATTGAATAGATGTATGCGCCACGCATAAGTATAATCACGGTTAGTAAAACTACATATTACGATATAACACTATAAATATTACGGAATAGTATTTAATATAAATACATAAATATTATGCCAAATAGTAATCATTAGAATGACATAGTTTCGATTCAGTATGACAAATTGAAAATAGAAGTGAAAGTTGCATCATTATATTCATCAGATTGCAAATTTGGCTAAAAATTTGAAATGGAATAAAATTGCACAAGTTCACATATAAAAGTAATCAGCGGAATGGCAAAGAATAAAATAATGATGTCGTGATGTTTTGTAACAAATTTATTGAGAAAAAGGGAAAAGGTATTTTAACTATTCGATCAGTGCTAAGATGACATTAATCCTCATTTCATGTCCATCTTGTTAAAGGAAGATTTTGCTGTTTGCTTATCTTGACGTGAAATAAAAGTTGCTTGTCTGAAAATAAATAAGTCAACATTTGATGGTAATGATAAGCCGAAATGATGATAAGTTGAAATGATGATAAGCTGAAAATATAATATATTCAATAGAGATATACAAACTTCCCTGAATTACGCCACGTAGAAAATTACAATTGATATGGAGAGTTACTTGATATAATTGCGTGAGGAGGAAAAGAATGCATTTTTTAAACTGTAGCAAGAGGTAATTAGCATATTGCTTAACGAGGAATTCGATTGTCATACTTTTGTCAATTCGTCTTTCGTACATAAACATGATTATTATTTGTTGACATCTCGCATTAATAATATTTTGATTCATTTTATTAGTTCGAACGTGAATCAACAAAATTAAAAACCACTCATCATTTGCAGCTTCCCCATGACAAACTGAATACAGAATTTGCAAGAAAGAAATTAATGAGGTACTTCAGACGAATGTGAAGTTTGATCGATTGAAAGTGAAAAATAAAACCTCAATCAATGTAACGATTTTGATGCAGAAATTGAAATTTGGAGAATTCGAATTAAAATGAAATTAAAATTGACCAATTATGTTTGATGAAAGCTCAATGAAATATGAAATTAATTCTGGTTAAAATAATGTATTACTTTTTTTCTTTTTCGCTTAATTCAATTACTACTATCTTTAGGTAACATAACTTAAACGATGACAGATGGTATTGTTGTTGTCCAATCACACAACCATTGAAATAAATGATGTAAAAAAAATATTGCATTTTTAAATACGATTGAATTTGGACTTTCTGCATAGTTATGACATTGAAGAATGTGCTGAAAAATAAAACAAAAAAAAACGAAAATTTTTGAAACTTTGCACTATACCTGTTGCCATTATTTAATTATACTGAAGCAGTAGGCACATATCTCACTGATCTCTTATGACTTATTGATTTTCCAACAAATTTAAAAAATTTTTTAATTTGAACAATTTGCATAAATTTGCCATTTTGAAGCAAATTTCATTCATTTATTTGTGATGTTCGCTATATGAACGGTCAACATTATTTTGAGGGAAAGCATTCATCGATTGATAACAACTATTTGCTATTCTATTCCTAATCGTTACTCATTTCTCCTTTTTAAAAAACATTTCTCGAACGAAATTGAAAAAGAGCAAAAATAAAATGAGGCCCGTTGGTGGCGTAATGAAAAAATTTGGTAAGAAAAGGCGAATGAGATTTGGACATAATAAAGTTATTAAACGAAAAGCATTAAAACCGCTAAAGAAGGGAGATGTGATGAAAGGAAAAAATAAACTTCCAAAGAAGAAACACAAAGAGAGAATGAAAAAGATGTCATCAAAGAAAAGTAAGATGAAAAATGAATAAAATGAATTAAATTATAAATTATTATTAGCCATATTAATTATTGACCAAATTAATCAATTAGCTAATGTTTGCATATGTAAAAGCCATCGATTTTGCTAAATGTAAATTGAAAGATTTAAATTTCACATTTTGCTTAAATAAGTTTTACTAAAATTATAAGCTAAGAGTGATATATTAAATGATAATATAAATTGAAAAATTGAATAAAACTGAAAAAGTTTGTAATTGATTGGATTTTGATTAAGGAAATCAGATAAGATCGGATTTTTGTTAGCAATAAAATAAGCATCATTTGATAATTCGTTTTAATTCATCTGCTCATTTCCGAGAATATTGTTAAATGATAGAGAAGAGGGAGATGAGGAAAAGAGAAGAAATGAAAAAATCAGAAGAAAAAGAGAAAAATGAGGAAACATCAACTAAAAAAGAACAGGAAAAATCAGAGAAAAAGGAAGAGAAAAAGTCAGCGAAAAAAGAAGAGGAAAAGAGAAAGAAATCTGAGCAAGAAAGAACAGAAAAAGCAGAAGCGACAAAATCTGATGGTTAATTAATATTTCTTATCAAATTAGAGCAATAAATTTTATAATATACAAAAACTTGTGATGCTTTGATGTACCGCTATTTGTAAACAATATTATTTTCATCAGAAATGATTTATTAATTGGAAATTAATAGATATTCATTCTTATTTATTCATTACTCGACATTAATCATTTTTAAACGAAAAGATAAAAACAATCTGAATTATTCTCTTTTTTATATAACTTAATTTGGGTCAAATAATTTTAAATCAAAAAACTTAAATTAGAAATTGAAAAAAAGACAAAGAACAAAAAATAAGAGAAAGAAGTGGACGGCCTTTGGCCTTATTAGTGCCCAAATTGTATATTATTTCATATATTAGTGCCAAATCGTTGGAATTTCATATATTAGCTTAACACTCATATATATATCAGATTTATCAGTTGGCATTATATTTTTCACTCAATAGATACAATGCGAAAGTGGAAAAAGACTGAGAAAGGAGTGGAAGTAATTTCGAAGATGAAAAGTAAAGTTGGAGTGGAAGAGGAGAAAGAATTCGGTGCTCAATTTAAGGTATGATATGTAAAATTCCTTTTACGTTTCAACTTTTCTTTTGGATACGATAGTTTCATTGATTGGCTGAATATAACATTACAAGGATATCTCGTTGAATCAATCATTTCACAAACAATTTCTTTTCAATTCAATATCAACGGTGCTGATAGAGGAATATAGGCCACAATAAAAGGCTACTCTTAAGCTTGGACGATTTGGTGCCCAATTTTTTGCACCAGCAGGAAGTGCGCCAAGTGATAATGATTCAAGTGATGATGATTCTGATGGTGAAGATGTGGAATCAGAGCATTCAGAAGATGAGAAATAAAACAAAGCGAATTTTTACATTGCTTGTAGATTTCGTTTATTGCATATGAACAGATTGATTTTGTGGAATTTATAACGGATGAATTTTATTAATGTAAGTGAATTTAAAATGTTAAGTTATGATTATATTATTATAAGAAGAAATCATTCATTCAATATATTTCAATTAATTTCATTCATTGAAACTTTTCGACGGAAACTTTCTTAACAATTTATAAAGAGAGTTTGCAAGTTATTCAATATGCAATAAATATTTGATGGTTCTAAGCTATTAAATATATCGCATAACTGTTATTGTAAATCATTGAGTATTTTATAAATACAGAAAGTAAGAGTTAACTATTCTGTGGACAATGAATCACCTATCGTTTAAGTTTATAATTTCTTTTTCCGGACATTTTCCAATTATTCCTTGCAACTTCTCTCGGATTATAAGTATCCAATTCAACAATTGATGGCGCTACAACTTCTTGAATCCCACATGACGATTTGCAATGGCCACCAGGTTGACCACGTTCGCCAGGTGATCCAAGTGGTCCATTTGGTCCTGGTTCACCTCGTTTGCCGGGTGGTCCGGTTGGTCCCTGAGAAAAAAATATAAGAATTACTGAATCGTAAAAAAGTACGCCAAGAAAGGTGCAAAATATTTCTGAATAACTCTTTCTTCATTTATATTAAGCATTAATCCTAAATTCAAAAACGGAGTAATTATCTTTTCAGGTGCTACAGGATGATTTAATCCCAAATATTCCCATGATACTTAGAAAGACTAGAAAATAAGCCAAGTATACCATTTCACCGGGAGGTCCTGGTGGTCCAAAATTGCTAGATGGTATTCCAGTTGGTCCTGGTGGACCTTTGGGTCCGCGAGGTCCTTGTGGTCCTGGTGGACCTTTGATTCCTGTTCCACCGATTGCATCATCACCAGGTGAACCCTGCAAACGCTCAGGAAATTTAGAGCTAGAGGCAAGAATTTACTTTTTCATATTTACAAATACGTCTATTTAGTGCATCAATCTTATCACTGTATCATTTATAATCCATGAAAATCTTCTATTGTTTCCTAATATATTTATATCCGCTTTTGATTCATATTCCCTAATTGTGGTGCAAAATTTCTTCCTGATTTCTTACTACTTGTATTTCTATTCCCATTGTTGTCATTGAATTGATTATAATCTGATCGCAATCTTTTATGCCTAGGTAAATAGAACTTCATTTTCATTATTTCAATCATCAATTAAATTACTTTTAATGATTAAAATGTTTTTTCATTCGAGAATAAAATTTACCTTAATGCCGGGTTCACCTGCTTCACCAGGAGGACCGGGTGGTCCAGGATCACCTACTCTGCCTCCTTTGCCTGGTCTTCCAGGTATACCATGATGACCTGGTTCACCGGGTATTCCAGGCCTTCCTGGTTCTCCTTGTTGTCCTCTATTTCCTGGTGGTCCTGCTGGACAAATCACGCTAGAAATTTCTTTTGTCATTAGATACAATGCTTTTTTAAGATGAATTCAGAAAAGTAGAATTAAAAATACCAAGGTGAACTAGGTTCCGGTTCCAGCGGGATATCCAAACCATCCAATCCAGGTTTTCCAGGTCTTCCAGGTTCACCATTTACGCCATCCTCTCCATCTGCTCCTGGTGGCCCTAGTGCACCAGGCGGACACCGTAGCTCTACACAACTACTGCATTGCCCTTCATTTTCTCCAGAATTCATTAATGATGTTTCACCATAACCGAAAAAATCATTCATCCTTCATTAATACGAATAGTATTATACAGCTCTGATTCTCTCTATCACAATAACCAAAAGATCTATTAACTATACGACATCGTATCTAAAATCGTTGGTAGTAATAAATTCTTCATAAATAGCCAATCTATTCAAATTTAAATTACTAAGTAAAGACATAAAAGTAAGAATGAACCAACCTTGACGTTTAATTCGTCCATTACTTTTAATCAAAATGATATCATGCCATAAACTTTTTGAAGTTACCTAAAGAAATTGATTTTGTTTTCATTTACATTAGATAAAGGATAAGATTTATCCAAGTATTCAGTAATTTCTTAAATTTAAAAAACTTTAAAATTAAAAAATTGAAATGCTAACATACACAAAAGTTTCATTACTGGGTTAGCGTATACTATTGCTGCGAGATTTAGTAGTATATTAATTTAAGGCCCACCAAAAATATCGAATAAAATTTTTAATTTCAATATCTTTTGAATTATTCAAAAAATATTGAAAGAGAAAAAAGGAAGAACTTTTTATTTTAAAATAATATAACAGAATGCTTTAACATTGATAATATCAATGATAACAATTATTCCCGTCATTCCATGTTTCATTTTCACAAAATTACACAGTACTTTGTATGTTATGGAAATAAAACATGCCTTAATGATTTAAATCAAATATATTTTTCCTTACAACTATTTGTCGCTTTAAGTGACACATATTTAAGCTAAAAGAATTTATTCACAAATTTAATGAATTTAAGTTTAATTATTTTTACAATACTAAATTACTATTAGTGCAATATCGTTTAAATATTAAAAAATCTATTCGAAATGGTAGTAAGATTTAGATGCAGTTGTAGAATTAAGTCGAAATTGGAATAAAATTTATCCTTAGTGCTAGTGTTAATTAATAATTAATAAATAAAGAAAAACATTACATCAAAATTATTCATTCGTTTCGTAAGTCGACTGGATGCATAATCCAATTTCAGGCACAGAGTTGGCAATATAATAATCATAGAAACAATACACAATAATGAAATTATCGCTGAAGTATAAGTTAATTTAATGCTCAGTGATAATTTCGTTGAATCCTCTTTGATGAATAAAACATCCGACTGTTTCATTTTTTTAATGTCGTTTGAAGAGCTGTAAAATTGTTGGACAAAATTAGCAATTAAAATCTTTTGCTTTAGAATAAAAAATTTTAATTATAAAAAGGGGGTCACAAAAAAAAAACCGTTCAGTGACCTGTTTAGTTCGGTGACACACAATTAAAACAATACATTGATGAGATGACAAAGAAAGGTGAACAACACAATTTCAGGTCATTCTCTTTAAAATCAAACATTTCATTTAAGTCGATCAGATGTTGCAATTTCTCGACTGCATCTCTAAAAATAATCATCATCGGAGAAAATTCATTGTCTAGTGAGAATCATTTATAAATGTTTCTGAATGATATGAATTTTTGAAACAGAATTTAAGTAATAACCTAAAATAAAGCAAATAATTTTGTCATGTGATACTTATTCTTTTCGTTCTCTCTTCTTTCTTCTTCAACGAATTAAATTCAAATTTTGATATCATTAAAAACTTAAAATTAATGTCTTGAAATGAATGAATCATAAACGATAATATCTTAAATAATTATCTAAAAGTGTTGGAATCCTCTTCGATGCATAAATTATTTGAAATTTTGTCTAAACCAAACAAATCCGATAAACAAACTGAATGACAATTTTCTTGAAAATATGCAAATATATATATATGCATCGTTAAAGAACTTTGTAGAAATTAAAATGTTTAGTAATTAAATATATTAAAAATAATTTGGAAGCTATTTTTTTTAGTAATTATAATAAGAGGCGGTGGTTTGCGTTTTTGTCGTAAAAGAAAAAATAACGATGCAAAAAGTTCAGTAAACTTTACACTCTTATCAGAAATATCATTTTAATCAAATGTTAATCAGCAAAAATTTTCAAAGTTAATTAGGAAACGAAGAGATTTTCCACTATTATAATTATAGTGGAAAATTTTATCATTAATTATTATTATTACTAAAATTTTATCATTAATTATTATTATTATTACTAAAATTTTATCATTAATTATTATTATTTTATCATTAATTATTACTATTACTTGTAATTGTTGTCATTGATTACTCTAATTTTCACCATTGAAAAAATTGTTATTAAAAGAGAGGGAGAGAGAGAGAGAGAAAAAAAAGAAAACTTCAGCAATATATCGTTAAAATTCATATCGCTTCAAAAATATAACAATATTTTGATATTATTCAGTATCACTTCGGATATTGCGACAACAATATTCCGGTCTCATCTATGAGTAATATTTGCAGACGAATAAACCAACAGTATCAGGAATACATGGACAAACACTATTAAAAAGAATTGAGCATATTAATGAATTATTTCCAACCAATCTACAACAAAACAGTTCAACAAACAATTCATCATCGTCATCTCTTAGTTCCACTAAACAATGTCAAAATGATAATTTACTCGTTGTAAGTATGAATGTATCAATTTTCAGCACAGAAAAAAAGAGATGAAATAATTCTGAATATAATTTGGGATATCATTTTCAAAAAATTATTAATTAATAAATTTTGTTTATTCGTTATACATAAGAAAATCAATAATGATAATAATTTGTCAAAATTTTTTCATTATTCTTTAAAATTAATTAATGCTATTAGTTAGTTATATGTTACAATAGCAAATTTCTATTAGTTAATTATATGTTACAATAACAAATTTCCATACGATAGTAATGGTAACTGTTAATGATTTTATACATAATTTATAGAATTATTCTCATCTAGAAGAAACTTATCATTTACATTTTGTGGAAGTGATACTGTTATCAGCTAATATTATTCAGCCTTTTTTGTCATCCATTAACATATCACAAGCGTGATCTGACGTGCTTTGACGTGATAAGTAGTGGAAAATTTATTGATAGTAAAAATTCATTCCATTATTGTTTTAAAATTAAAAGAAAATTTGAACATTATTGCGAGAAAAAAAACTTCAAATAAATTTGAATAAAATAAAGAAGACAATATCACAAAATGCTTTATTAGTTGCAGGAGATTCGTAGTGGAGTACAATTGCGCCATGTAATACCAAATGCGCATAAGCAATGTATTAAAATGCTCTATGATAATACATGCGAGAAATTATTCATTACGGTAACTTCTACTCTTCACTTCTCTCTCTCTCTCTCTCTCTTTTTCTCTCTCCCTTTCTTTCTCTCCTTGTAATTAATTATTACATATATGTCATTTTTTTTTTGTTAATTATTAAAAAGATTATTTTTTTTCCTCTTTTTTCATATGTGTGTGTGTGTGTGTACTATTCAGGAAAATGAAAATGAAAGGAAATTAGAAACGGAAAAACAGACTGATATCGGAAATATTATACTTAATGCTATGCGTAAGCGACGATTACTAATGGGATTTGGTCAGTTAGCTTTCATTGTTTTTCGCTTCAATGATTCAATGATTAAAAATGACCATTGTCCACTAAGTAAGAATATTTCAACTTACATAAAATCCTCACATATAACAATGAAAACTTTTGAAAACAAATATATTCATAAGAGAGAGAGAAGGAATGAAAGAGAAAAAGAAGACAATGAAAATAAATGATCAAAGAAAGAAAAGAGTTAAATGATTTATTGTTTATTGTAAGCTAAAATGATAACATTTTTCATTCTTTTTATTACATTGATAAAATTATCATATAAATGAAGTAATTGACAGTTAAAATGTTAATTAAGAATCTTCTTCAACCAGTAATGAAGATGGAAATGAGCGAAAATTGGAACAATGGAGTGATACTGATGATAAAGGTTATGGTGATGATCAATAATATATATATATATCAATGAATAAGACACAAATTTAAAATTACAGAGGAAATTTATAAATCAATTAATTTAGTGACTGATTTGAAATTATAATTGATTGATCGAATATATAATAAAAATTTCCATACTGTTAACATCTTTGCTTACTTTATATCGATAATGAATTCATAATTTCATTTCATATTCATTAATATTGAATTGAGATTAAAAAGTGTACCATTTTCTTGAAGTACAGAAATGATTGATAAAATATCACTAATTGCTGCTAATTCCACATATTCCGCAGTATATCAGTGTGAATCATAAATAGTACTGATAAACGATATTGATAATAATATCAGAAATGGAAATCATTATTATGTTTTCCGGATTTCGAATACTTTTCCTTTTTTTTCCTAATTTTAGACATATTTATATTCTTTTTCCTTTTTTTTTTGTTGTCAAAAAATTATTAATTTCATATGCTTTTTTTCTCACTCATTAATTTTTCTTGCCGTTCCTATTTCCAGCCGATATCTGTTAGTTCAAAAGGTTTTAGAAGAAATTGCTGATGGCAAAAATAATGTAATCATTTTTATTACAATTGCTCATTTCTGAAAAAATCATCGCTTTATTATTATTATTATTATTATTATTATTATTATTATTATTATTATTATTATTATTATTATCATTATCATTATCATTATTATCATTATTATCATTATTATCATTATTATTATTATTATTATCATCATTATTATTATTATTATCATTATTATTATTATTATTATTAAATTTATTATTATTATTGTTATTGTTATTGTAATTGTTATTTATTATCATTGTTATTATTGCGATTTATTTGTTACTTTAGATATCTCTTATCAGTCAGTATATTTTACTTCCTTTTTCTCCCTTTCTCTTTTTCTTATCAACTCTCGTTTCCATCTTTCTGGTTTTAACCAGTAAATTTAAAATTTAATTTCAAGTAATGACTGACAGAAATATCCACTTATTTGACTTTAACAGCTCATTTAATTTTAACTGTTCTGCCAAAAGGTGTATGTATAAGAATTGAAATTATTATTCTATGCATATTAAATTATTCTAATCAATTCATTCTATTAACTTTTATTTGTAATTCAAAAGATTAAGTTAATTTTTCGGTTAATTAAATTTCAGAATTATGGAATATTTATCCGATCTTCAATTCCCTCTTATAATTAAGCATTTTTTTTTTAGTATTTTAATGAGTGTAAAGCAAATTAATTTTTCCGATATATCCCATAAGAAATATTATTGGAATATTCAAAATAGAATTAATATACGACGAGTGTTATAATGCTAATAGATAATAATGATTGTTTAATATCATATGCCATTAATAATTTGAAGATAATTAAAGATCGGTTGTGAAATGCTTTCATCGCTCATTTCCATAAACAAAAGATTTCATACGTCGCCTATTATTTTCCCAAAACGAAGTAAATATAATAACAAAATATTTGAAATTTTTGTCATAAAATTATTTAATTAAATTTTATTTCATTTCTTGTAGTAATAAAAAATTGTGCAATTTATTTCTATTCGAAATAAACAAATAATATTTATTAATTAGCAGAATTTTTTTCTAATCTTTTATTTTCCATTCTTCTCTTTCATTGTTTTAATTATTAATAATTTAAAATAATAAAATTACATTTGTTAACTTTGGAGTTTTTACTATTTCATCACAAAGTATAATTATTAAACTATAAAATATTTAGATGCTTATCGTAGAAAGGGAAAATATTGCTCAAAAGAGGAAATGAATAATTTAAACGATTTAATTAGAGATGCTAATTTTCAAATGAAACAAATGGATTGGGAAAAGAAAGTGAATGATTTGATCGATAAAACTTATGAATGTTTGGATAATGATATGATTGACATTATTATTGTTAGTTAAATTTGAAATGATTAAATGCTATTAATTCACTGATCATATAAATAGCTGTTAACGAATGATAATTTATTCAGAAAGATCACCTACACAATATGATCATATTTTTTAAGAAATGATTTATCTAATTATCTGCTATTTTGTCGATATAGTTATGAATCAGTTTAGCCAAATTTAAGCCATATTTGAATTTTTAATTTGTAGAATTAGATTTGATACAATCATTCAGAGTTGATGATATTGCCGTATATGAAAACATTAACATTCGTCGAAAAATATTTACAGGCACAGAATAAGTGTAAGAATGTGGAAGGGAGATTGATGAACACTTTTGAATATATAAAATACGATATCCAATTACGATTGTCTATCTTACAAAACATGAAAAACATGTCATTGAAATCTGATTCTAATATCACGCATACATCATCCATTCATTATCATCAGTTTTATAATGATGTCAACATTTTGAAAGGTATTGTTGCTTGAACAATTTTCATCTTCTAACAGACTGTTTTATTCGAATTCAAAGTATCGATTATTATTTCATCAATCTCAAATAGCGAAACGTTGCAATTCCTGTCAGCAATGATCTGACAGCTTACAATCACATAGGTTTTTTGATGAATTACAGAAAAGCCATCGGAAAATGACATATTGTCAAGTATTTATATGATGGAAAACGATTTACTTAAAATAGATGCATTTCAAGTAATTCATTACAAAATGTATTTTACTACCAGTAAAATTTTATTACACATTATATTATTTTAATTATTAGTATATATTATATCAATTATATTACTCTTAATTATTACAAAATGCATTTTATTACCTGTAAAAATGTGCATTATTACCAGTAAAACGATTGCATTTTTGATTTCCATACCAAAATTTTCGAATTCTTTATAAAATTCATTTTATAAATTTTCATATATTTTATTTAGTTTCTGTCATATTTCAAATTAACAAATATTTTCTTTTCTTTTCTGCCTTAGAAGCAATGTGCAGGAATGGATGGATATTGTTCGGCGATACGTTCTATCATTTACAATAGGGTAAAGGTTAAACAGCAATTGTTAAATGTTAAGTATGCAAGAAGAAAACTTGCAAATATCAAAGAACAACTTCAGAATTCAGCGTTACTTTATCCATTAACAAAACAACAACATTTGGTAAGATGAAAAATTTTTTAAACTCGAACTTGGATATACACTGATAAGCTAAATAAACATAATTAATTATCATGCTGTTAAATGATAATATTATTTATTGCTATAGCAATAGACAATCCAACAATGATTAATGTTGCAGTAATTGAAATATTTGTATAAATAAATAGGAAATATTGCCATTAATATCATAAATTAATAATTGAATGAATAAATGAATGCATTTCTTAACCTTATCTTAATGATAATTCATTAATAAATATGCTATAAATAAAAAAGAAATTTAATTTTTCAATACTAATAAATTTAGAGAGTAAATTAAACTTCAAAATACTATCACTCTATCACAACTACTACTATTATTACTGTTACTACAATTATTACCACTGTTACTAATAAATTACTTTATTAAGGTAAAGTTGATATGTTATGTATGTAAGCAATAAGACGAATAATTGTTTAGAATGAATGAAAATTTATTCAGCTAAGTAAAAATGCATTAATGTTGGATAATATATTGGCAGCAATGCAACATATAATAGCGGAAATTGATGAACAATTTAATTCAACATATTCCGTTAATTGGTACATTGCACTATTTAATGAAGTTTGGCAACAATTTTATCATACTCATCAGGTAGTGAATTTCAATTTAACTTAGTTTAAATTTAAATCAAATCAGTTTAAATTATATTATTCGTACAATCTTCCTGCCATTTTTTAAAATTTGAAAATTAGTAAAAGAAAATAAAATTAAGAAATAAAATAGAAATAAATGAAATTTGATAAGTTTGAAAATGATAGATAGATTAAGCGATCAATTTGTGAACATTAGAAAGTTTATAAAATTGTAAATTCAGAATACACCGAATACTTCACAAGATGAATGGTCATTACTAGTAAACGGTATGATTGCGATCTAGGATGATATGTTAAGATGATATGTTAAGAAGCTAAAGCCTTATCAGCTACTTATTACATCAATCATCTCAAATCACTTGCAGGAAAATTTAGCAAAAAAAAAATGCCTTTATAACTGATGTATGATAAATGCATAGAAAATTTTGCAGAAATTTTTTTCACAAGAAAGATGGACGATATCTTCCGGACGAAAATAAGCAATAAGCATGGACGATATCTTCCGGATGAAAATAAGCAACAAGCAATTTCATTTTCCATCCCTCTGATCGAATATTTCCTTTGATATTCTTCTATTCATTTCCTTATTAATTATTATATGTCATAGATTTAAATCGATTAACAAAATTATATGCCTTTTTTCTTAAATTTCATTTTTTCATCGATCGCTCTATGATTTCTCAAATTTTCCATTTTGCAAGAAAAGATAGGAGGAAAATCGAAAGTTTAGTGTGTGTGTGTGTGTGTGTGTGTGTGTGTGTGTGTGTGTGTGTGTGTGTGTGTTTCACAATGTAATACAATTTTTCTCGTCGTTTATTTCAAAGTAAAACAAAGATGGAAAGTTTAAAATTGAAAAATATTAACGTATCGGTTGAAAATTTGAAAATTATTCTAAACATCAAAAACAGAAATCGATGAGAAATAAAATATGCAAAAAATTTAATGTCACAAATACAAATTTATTTCCTTTCATTTATAAAATATATATTTTTTTAAGGCTCATTTGTTAGGTAAATAAAATATATTATTAAGGCATTATTTTTATATTTTAGCAAGTTTATATATCATTAAGAATGCTTCAGATTTTTTTTACAATAATTAATGGTAATAATTATTAATTATTGTTAATATCATGGCAAAGGGATGATAAAATTGAAATGCAAAAAGATAAAGATTCAAACAGATCGTACAACCGACGATTTGCTTTACGATTATCATTAAAAGCATAATTATCATTTCAATTCAAAATTCCATCCATCAACAGATAATAAATGAAGAGAGAAGATATAATGTGTAGTTTCCTCTGTCAATATAATCAATAATAACTCTTTCTGTATCCTGTTGAAGAGTAATTTCGATTAATACGTAATTAAATATAATTCTTACATTGCATCAAAGTTCCTTCAATATGTTGGTTGTAATTGTAATCTCTAACATTCTGTTCATCCATTTTAGTTTTACATTTCGTTTCTTTCGAATTTTTCATTCTTCATTTTATTTGAATTGAAAAATGAGAATGCATAGTGTAAGAGAGGCTAAGGGTGGTTATAAGAATGTTAACAAAAAGGAAAGGGAGAAGAGAGGAAATATTTCAATTGGCAAACCGAAGAATTTTCAGGTAAGACCTAATTGTCCTACTTAAATTTATTTTAATTAAAAAATTTTGTCCCTTAAGAGGAGTAATTATTACATAACATAAAAATTTCCAATTGACAAAAAAGAAAAATGACGGAGGGGTGGAAGGAAGATGATAATATGATGAGCTTACATTAATGATATATTCTCATTGTCGTCGCCGCTGTCGCTTATCCTCGGAAAAAGCAATACCAAAGAGCATGTAGCACAGCTGGTAACCAGAAGAAGAAGCACAAGACGATGTTTACTACCACATGGATATTACAATCGCTGCTATGGACGAAAATTGCCAATGGCTGAAAAAATCATCATTATCATCGTCATAACCGATATTATTACTTTTTATTAAAACCAATTATTAAATGATCAGTAACTAATCATTGATTAACTTCTAATTATTAACTTATAGTAATAGTTAATAATTAATAACAATAATAAAATTAATAATGATAATAATTGACAACAATAATCAGTAATAATAGTAAAAATATTATTATTAATATTATTATTATTATAATTATTATGACATTATATTAATATAATAATATTAATTATATTATTATTATAGCATTATAGTATTATTAATAATAACAGTATTATCGTTATTATAATAACATCATTATTACTCTAGTTATTACTATTATTATTGACTATTATCATTATTATTATTGATTATTATTATTAATTATAATAAGTAATTATAATTATAAATTATAATCAATATTATTAATTATAGTCCTTAATCATAATAAATGATAATTATCGTTATTAATTATTGTTACTGTTGTTATCACTGTTATTGTTATTGCTGTTACTATTATTAATATAATTGGTGTTATCATTATTATTGTTATTGCTACTATTATTGCTAATGTTAATATTATTATTATTATTGTTGTTATTGCTATTATTATTGTTGTTGCTACTATTATTGTTATTGGTATTATTATTATTATTAGATATTGTTATGATTATTGTTATTAACTATTGCTATTATCATAATTGTTATTGTTATTATCGTTATTGTTATTTTTTATTGATATTACTATTATTATTATTCTGCTGTTTTTGTTGCCGTCACTGTTATTGTTACAATTATTGTTATTGTTATTATTGTTTTCACTATTATTGTTATTATTGTTATTGTTAATTTCATTTTTATCCATTAAATCTGATGCTTCATTTGTCATGGAATTATTATCATTATTATTGTTATTATTATTATCATTATTACTATCATTTATTATTATCATTTATTACCATTCCATTATTATTATTGTTATTATATTTTATTATTATTATCATCATCATTGACCCATATCAATGCCACAAAATTGTGTCGATCATAATAAGGTTAAGATAGATGGTTATATGATACCGTCTGTCTCAGCTTCATTATATTTGATAACATAGCAGTAAACTTTTATTACGCCAATAAATTTTGAAAGTATGATTTAATGAAATCCTTCTTTGTGATCGATCAAATTGCTTATTTTTTTTTAATCTATTATTTCTGATTTTAATTTCATTTCTATCCATTTAATCTAATATTTCATTTATCATAGAGCATCAATAGATCAATATATACCGGCAAAAAAATTGTTAAGATAAGTTCGATAATCTGTTGCATATCCACCATTGTTGTATTGTTCCTTTATTGTTTACTGTTTACAAATTGTAACAATCGATCTGTAAATATTGCGATGCTAATGCAAAACAATAAAAGATAAAATTATCATTTTTCAAAAATTCGTTAAACAATTATACGATCTAAACGCAGAAAAAATTAAGAGATTTAAAAATTCAATTTGAAAATATTTTTCATTTGACAAGGAAATTTGACGAATGCAAAATGTGTATTTCGGGTCAAACATTAATCTGAAATTAACAATTTCACATAATTAACTTTAAATAGATTGATGGATGTCATTTCAGAATGATGACTCATCGTACAAGTAGAATAAGACGATGAAACTTAATTAAAATCCTTCTAATTTATCCGTTAATTAAGCAATATGAGAATTTTTTATTGGCTAACAGATAGTAGCCATAAGTATTGTCTAGTTGACAGATAACAGCCATAAGATATCTGTTAACTAATAAGCCCGTTATCAAGTATTTCTATCTTTTTAATGTTTTATTCCATTTTAACAATGCCGCAAAAATTTTTCATTTCATTTTGTGATTAGAAAAAATATTTCAGTTATATTTTGCAAGAGCATATTTCAATCTTCACATAACATTTAATAGTTATTTCATTTAATTATTTGTTTGACTTTAAACTGTCAACAAATAATCCAAAAGGCTTCAAAATTATATCAAATATTTTATAATATCTCAAAAATTTTTTTTGCAGTCTTTAGGGAAATCGTTTTAGATAAAAATAAATAAAATGCAATAATTCACAACGAAATAGTGCAAATAGAACGGATGATAAATTGGTAGATGGATGAGAAGGTGGAGGAAGCGGAGGAGGAGGAGGAGGAAGCGGAGGAGGAGGAGGAGGAAGCGGAGGAGGAGTAGGTGGAAGTAATTTTGTAATGTGGGTGATTTTTTATAGTAATATGTAGTAACTTATAGTAATGTTAACTATGCTTGTGATATTGTACAGCAAATTATATATTTAGAGTAACGTACAATAACTTATATGAATAGATGACGATTACAAAATTCCCTAAAACCTTTTAATATTTCTCAGTATCACAATTCTTCTGAAGGGTAACGCATTTTAAAGTATGCCACAATAGATAATCAAATTAAATGAGGATAACTTTTAAAATCAAAATAATACTCTTTTAATCTTCACCGATAATTAATTAATCTTAAAAGAAAAAAATGAAATTTTCACCTCAAAAATGATTCATCGGAAGAATGTATGGATCAAATTTTATCACTTTTTAAAGATCCTACAGTACAAAAACAGCATGATATAATGATAATGATAATTGATTAGATAGAATAGATCCCGCCATTGATCGATCGTATCATAAATTAATATCAACGATATATCATCATAATATAAACTATGATCAAATTTATATTTTAAATAGATTTCCATATATTAAAATATTTCACAATTATCGATTGAATTCATTACGAAATGGCACCGTCAACGGAAAAGAGGAAAAGAAATTGTCATTTGTTGCACACAAATTTTCCTTTCCTCTTTTTCTCTCTCTCTCTCTCTCTCTCTTTTCTTCTCTTCATCCCTTTTTGCAACACATTTCAATTTTACATCATAAAATGTCGAATAGCTGAAAATACCACAATCCATTTCTTTCGCTGCTAATTTCTCCGATAGCTAAAAGATAATTTTCGTTGTAAAAAAAGTTTCACTTTTTTTGTTTTGAAAATATATTCAGAAAGACTTCAAAAGTATATTTCATTATATTGCTTATTAAAACAATATAATATATATAGTATATTTCAATACATTGCTTATTAAAACAATAAAAAGAGCAAATGAATGAAATCTGCTCGAATGCGTTTATGTGATGGTAGGATTAGTGAAGAATGGTAAATTTCTTATTTAATATCAAATGATTTAATATAAGATGGTTTGTAATGAAAGGATCGGATAATTTTAAATTATTCGAATAACCTAAATTTTATATTTGATAAATTCAATTTTAACATTATACTGAAAAAA